AGAAGGACACAGGGAAAGGGTAATTACAGGGAAGTGGGAGGTGACATGTTACTCGTGGGGAATATAACCAGTATCACACAACATAATGTGTATATGAACTGCTGAATGTAAAATGAATCTGCTTGGTAAAATTTCACCCAAATCACAATAAAAAGGTTTTTTAAAAAAATTGGCACTACTTTGCAATGCATATCAAAATATTATTATAGTATTATAATTTTAAAAATATTTAAGTACACATAAAAAAAGAAACTCTAAGAGACCTACATAAATGGAAGAATAGACCATGCTCATGGATATGAAGACTGAACATTGTGAAAATGTTAATACTATCCAAAGCAATCTATACATTCAATACAATTCCAATCCAAATTCCATCATCATTCTTTAAGGACATGGAAAAACAAATCACCAATTTTATATGGAAAGGAAACAGATCCTGGATAAGAAAAGTGCTACTGAATAAGAAAAACAAAGTAGGAGATCTTACACTCCCAGATCTCAAAACCCACTATACAGCCACAGTATTCAAAACAGCCTGATATTGGTACAACAGCACACACAGAGACCAGTGGAACAGAAGTGAGGGTTCAGAAATAGACCCAACCACCTATGGACAGCTATCTTTGAGAAAGGGCCAAAATCCATTCAATGGGGAAAAGACAGTCTCTTCAACAAATGGCGCTGGGAAAACTGTATATCCACTGACAGAAAATAAAACAAGATCTCTGTCTCACAGTACACACAAAAAATGAACTCAAGATGGGTCAAAGACCTAAATGTAAAACCCAAAACTATAACGTCCATCCAACACAAAACAGAGGCAAGCGTGGGGAACCTAATTAATGGCATAAATAGACTATCAAATACAACTCAAAATGCACAAATAGCAGAAAAGAAATTAGATAACTAGGACCTTCTAAAAATTAAATTCTCATGTGCATCAAGAGTAAAAAAAGAACCTACAGACTGGGAAAAAAATACTTGGCAATGACATAGACGACAAGGTATTTATCTCTGTAATTTATAGAAAATTTCAACACCACAACATCAAAAAGACAAACAATCCAATTAAAAAAATGGGCAAAGGACATAAACAGACACTTCACCAAAGAAGATACTCAGGCAGCCAACAAACACAGGAAGAAATGCTCTCAATCATTAGCCCTTAGAGAGATATAAGTCAAAACAACAATGAGATATCATCTCACCCCAGCAATTTCAACAAGGCAGAAAATAACAAATGCAGGCAAGGGTGTGGAGAGATTGGAACTCTCATACACTGCTGGTGGGACTGTAATATAATACAACCACTGTGGAAAATCGTATGGCACTTTCTTAAAAAGTTGGAAATAGAAGTATCATTTGATCCAGCAATCCCACTACTAGGAATATCCCCTAAAGATGTGAGATCCGAAACATGAATAGATACACACCCATGTTCACTGCAGCACTATTTACAAAAGCAATGAGATGGAAACAATCTAAGTGCCCATCAGCATATGAATGGATAACCAAACTATGGTACATATACACAATGGAATGTTATGCAACATTAAAGAATAATGAAGAATCAGCAAATTACCTCATAATTTAGTGGATGAACTCGGAGGAGTGAAGTAAGTCAATCACAGACAGACAAATACTGTATGAGTCCATTACTGTAAAAGGTCAAGGAAAGGTTTACACAGGGAAGGAAAATTGTTGGTTATCAGGGATGGGAGGGGAAGTGAAGGAAGGAGAAATAGATGGATAATTAAAAGACAGGTTTGATATGGGTGAAGAGAAAAGCAATAAAACAAAAGCATGAGGCTAGCATAATATCAAACAAAAAGGAAGATACAGAGAGGTGCACAAGAGGTACAGACAATAAAGGCAAATACTACTGCATACACAATACTGCATTATCAGTAACAGCAAACACTAATCTACAGGTGGATACATAGGTAGACAGATAAGAAGATCAGCTATGGATAGACAAATAGGAATATACCCATGACCATACATAGGTTTGGCAGATGATATTCCTACATATGCATTTGTATGTGCTATAAAAATGTCCATACGCATTTTAAACATAACAGAAGGCAAAGTTAGGATTTCTAAGCCATAAATAATCATCTTAAGGGACTAAGTCACTTGGCATGCAGGCTGGGGACCATGGTCACAGCGGATATCAAGCTCAATTGGCACAATATGATATACAAAAATCTGTTCTACATCTCACTTGGGTGGGTAGTTGACTGGGGTCTTAAAAAGCTTGTGAGTGGCAAAGACACAGGGAAACAGTCCAAAGGACTAATTGAACATGTTGTTGTTATTTGCCGTCGAATCGGCCCCAAGACTCATAGCGACCCCTCCTTGGATTTCCGAGGCAGTATCACTACGGAAGTAGGATTGCCCAACCTTCCTTCCGAGGAGTGGCTGGTGGGTTTGAACCGCCAGCCTTCTGGTTAGCAGTCAAGTGCCTTAGCCACTATGCTACCAGAGCTCCCTAAGAAGCCTATATGACCCTGAGGCTACCAGTGCTAACCACTCAAGATACGGATCAAAACTGGAGATCCCGGATAGAATGGGAGAAAAATGTGGAACAAAACTGAAAGTCATAAAAAAAGTTCAGGCTTACTGGTCTAATAGAAACTGATGAGATCCCCAAGACTATGGCCCCCACTCACCCTTTGGGCCTGGAATTGAACTTACTCCTATGGCTTAACTCCCAGCCAAACAACAGACAGGGCTATGAGCTGAACACCTACACCAGGGAGATGCACTCCTTAGAACAATCAACCATGGGAAATCAGAAGGGTAGAATCTGCACAGGGAGAAAGCTAGGGAAGCAGGAATGCATAGGAAGGACACGGGAAGGAGCTACCACAGGGAGGAAGTGGGAGGTGAGCTGTTACCAAGAAAAAATATAGAAGGGATTGTTCCAGATTTTTTTTTTCTTTTAAATGATATGCATAAGCTGTGATTATAGAAGAGGTCAGAACATTTCAATTCTTCACAAAGAAAATAAATGACAGATACTACATTATCACCATGGTTTGAAGCCAAATGCTAATTAAGAGGAGGAAAGAGGCAAAGCCTGGCTACACTGAATGCATAGCAACCAACACAGTTACTCAAATCCCTATTTTCTCCTTTATATAAACACTAGAAGTTTGGTACAAGAACAGAGAGTGATATATTTGGTATACAGGGAAATAGATGAAAGCTCTTTAGTTTCATTCTTCAGGTTAAACTATAATTTCTCAGTACAGTCTGTGGAGAAGCTCATAGGAATTATGTGGGAAAAGGTGTTCCATAGTCAAATATGTTTTGGAAACATTTTGTTTCTTTATTGTTGTTGTTCTTTGAACCTTCATCATGACTCTCCAGGAGAGGGGTCTTCTTCTATGCCTGAAATGGTGTGGCACTTTCATTATTTGTGAGATAAAAAGGGAAGAAAAAAATATAAAGAAATAAAAAACTCAATGTTTTTTTGATGGCAAGAATCCATTACATGAAGAATTAGGAAGCAAATAACAAAACACTGCTATTGGTATATTTAGGGTAATCCAGAAACCTGAAAATCTTAAAACTTCACCATGTGCCACAATCTTTCTCATTGCTGATAATCTCTCTTAAAGTCTCCTGGCTATTTGTTGGATGGGCTCTGGTGGCACTGCAGTTAAAAGCATTGGGCTGCTAACCAAACGGTCAGCAGTTCAAACCTACCAGCTGCTCCACAAGAGAAAGATGTAGCAATCTGCTTCCATAAACATCTACAGCCTTGGAAACCCTATGGAGAAGATCTACTCTTCCTATAGGGTTGCTCTGAGTCGGAATCCACTCAATGGCAATGGGTTTGTTTTTGTTGCTTTTTGGCTATTTGTTAGCATTTGTGAGGCACAATCATTCCATTAAAAACCATATTTGAAAATATTTTTCTAAAAAGAAGCACTGGATGCTCGGAGGGCTTTCTGTATGTTAATTCCTGCCCACCCCACCCCCAAGTTAAGACTCTATGAACTATCAGGTATTTAAATACCAGAATAAAATAAAACACGCAAACACTGTATAGGATATCTGATTTTTTTCTTTTAATTTGGAAAGAAAATAAGTATACAAGATTGCTAAAGAGTAGTGGTAAAAATTGAATGTTATGTACTATGGAATCAGTCAGTACATTGTTTTACTTCAGTAGCCAGTGATTCTTACAATTAATTCTGCAAAAAACAAAGAAACCTGTTACACAGAAATAAGAATAAAAAATGCCCCTTGCTGAACCCCATTTTGATAAAATTGGCTTCATATCTAGCTTATTGATTATACTCAGTTTCAGTTCTCCCTGTGCAAAAAAATATGTATTGTCATTAATGGTGGTTTGGTGAGAGAAAATCAATTTCTCTTAGGATAGTTTAACATAATATCCCAAATATAAAAAATTATTCAAGATTCACAGAGATAAACTTGTGCCTAGGAAACAGTTAATTCACCCATGTGCATAATAAGTTTATAACATACTTTTTAAACATAAAATCACAGTCGGAGACAGTGGTAAGACACCACATACTCAGTGCATTACTTCATGTAGTGCTTTCCTATGGATCATGTGGGGTTTACCACCACATAAACACTACACTTCTAGTGAATGCGCTTCTAACACACACAGATCTTTCCAACTCTTTAAAAAAAAATCTAAAGATCTCATAAGACCTCAAGTTTGGCATGTAAGGACTTTCTGTTTTAGTATCCCAAACATTGGGAAGATTAGGCATGACATGTAGTAACCACCCCTTACAAGCAAGACTGCACATAGGCTTTTGTTACATCACCACAACAAACCCTCAAAACAACTCAACACTGAGATCAAGAGGGGCACATTTATTTAGCCAAAGAAAATCTGAATGGCTTTCCTGGAGTTAAATGCACTCCAAGCATTAAGAATGATGTATAACTGTGGCACCTAAAGAGATCTGCCACTGTGTAATATGCTGTCAGGAAATGTTATGCATTTTAATAATACATTATGATTTGTTTGTTTCCCAGTACCATGGGCCACAAGAAAATGATACTCAAGACTATCTTGTTAGAACAGGACAAGTGATGACCCCAGTTTTAAATAGGGTTCTTCATTGAAGGAAAAGATAGATGCATAAAAGTCAAATTAGTTGACTTTAAGTGGTTTACATCCCAGGATGAATCAGGTTACACTGATTTAAGCCCAATTTAATTTAGGCAGGTTTTTAACCACAAGAATAAGGGCATTCTTAGTACATATTAATAATTAAACCAACATATACACAATTAGCAATATCTTATATAATATTAAACGTTTTAACAACTTGTTCTCAATTATTTTCTATCTAGTTAATCTGTGGCTTGTTTTTTTTTTTTTTTCTTTAAAAAAAAAAAAGCTCAACTTTTAATTTACATTGTACTTTGTATTTCTAACTGTATTCTATAATTATTTCATTGAAGCAGGTATAGTTCTCCGGATTCTAAGAGCCAAATTCGACTGTATCTTCTGTTATCTGTTTGAATTCATAATTGCCTCTGCCATCCATATGCAGGTAGTACTACGGGCAAGAAGAAACAAACAAACAAACAAACAAATCAATAATCAAGAATTTGCTATGTGACAGGAATTTAAGTAGAATTTCTTAAACTGGTGTTTAAGACAACGATTAGAAGTGATTACTTAAGTCACTGAAACCTTCAACAACTTATATTCTGATGCATACAATTTTCCAAGGTAACTGTAAATGAAGATGTTTGTTCTTTTAAAAAATAACAATATAACTCTGCTTAGAGTGTTCAAAGTACTTTCCTTTATGAGGACTAAAATACAATCTTCCTTATTATTTTAAAAGAACCAAATCTGTAAGTAACCCACAAATCAGAATGTCCAGCAGGTTGAACTGTGCAAAGTGCTAGACTGTTCAGCAGAAGCAGCCTTTATTACTTCCTTTTGCTGATTTCCTATGGCAGCTGGAGCCTCTAATTTAGTTAGGTTTTTGTTTGTTTGTTTTTTGCTTTAGTAGATGGGGAAAGAACTATATGGTGCCTATATATATATATATATATATATATATATATACACCTCATCCTTGCTCATCATTGCTTTTAGGACAGCAATTATAAAGCTTCAATTTTTTATTCCATGGCTTTTGATGAAAATACTTTTATTTTTCCATTTTGCTATTTCTTAGTTATTGTGGCTCCCAATTCTCCCTCATTAAGTCACCACTCCTTCACATGATCACTGTTCTGATGGTTATTTTGCTAGCTATCTATACCTGAAAGGAAGAGAAGAGGCCAAAGTCTTCTCTTGGTCCTATGGCTGTAATGTTTATGAACTTCTTGAGAAAACAGAGTGTTTGAGTATATGTGTGTGTATGTGTATATACATATTTGACTTTAATGTGATATGAGTAAAAGTTTACAGAGCAAATTCACTTCCATTCAACAGTTTTAACTGAAACCCACAGTGTCTCAGCTCTTTTCCCACTTCCTCCCTGTGCTTGCGTCTTTCTTTCCCACACATTCTTTCCTTCTGAGTTTTCTGCTAGTGCACCCCTGCTGATCTCTCAGGGCTGGTTGTTCTAGGGAGTATCTCTCTCTGGTGTTCATAGCTCTGTCTATTGTTTGGCTGAAAGTTAAGCCATGAGAGTAAGTTCAATACCAGGCCTGAATGGATTAGGGACCATAGTCTTGAGGGTGATTGGTCGGAGGATATTTTTAACTTGCTTTGATTTCTAGTATTCAATTTTTCATGCAACTCATGAGAAATACACAAATCATAACATGGCATAAAATAATATAAACTATTTTTTTAAAAGTAATTGTCTTAATTCACCAGATCAGCAGGAGACAACTTTCAACTTAAACAACTTTCCAATACTATCAATTTCCTTTTTCTCCTAAGTTTTCAAGCCTGGGATCAGTCAGGAAGACAGTTCAACAGAATGCTTTCAAACAGTGCCCAATTTAACTTCTATAAATATACAAGCTCTTTCTATAGTAAGTAACAGCCATAGCGAATTTCATTAAGTACTTTCACATAGCTCTCCTCTTTGATCCTCATCTTTATGTGTGAGAGACAGGCAAGGACCAGTAACTTTATTATACCAAGGAAGTAACCAGCCTAAAAACAGTGGTGCTTGAAAATATGTTTTATGACTTAAAATCCTGTTTTTCATTTTATTACTTGCAGAATATTATCTAAGCTGAAAGGCTCTTGAGGGTATAGACAGCAGTCTGTATCTCTTTCAACATTTAGCACGATATTTGGCAAAATAAGTGTTCAATCAGGTATGCTTATTGTGGGACAAGATATCATTACTGTTTTTTTTTCCCTCAAACCCTTTATTCAACATGAAATGTGTATCATGAAGCAACGGAGGGAAGGCAGAAAGGAGAAGGAAAGAAAATTAAGTGTTAAACTGGTTTTATCTTTAGGGTTTGAGCATTTTACAGTAAGAGATGAAAAGAACAACTGTACTGAGAAAGGAACTGCTGGAGTCTCAGAAAGTACTAAGATGTCTGTACTAATGTAAACTGCATTAATGCTGTCTTTGTAAATTATAGTTACTACCTAATGAACCCTATTTCATTACAATACAGTGGTAATATAGCCGGTATTACTCACTTTCTCCTATGTAGTCCTGCCCTTTACTAAAAATGCCCCTAAACATTTTTTTTTTTTTCAAATAATACTTTATATTGTGTTTAAAGTGAAAGTTTACACACCAAATTAGGTTCCTGTTTAATAAGTTCTACAGAAATTATTCAGTAATACTAGTTTCATTTTTCACAAAGTGGCATCACTGCCCCTAAACTTTTTGTCATGTAATTCTTCTTGAGAGTCTTTCCCCTTCTGCCAATATTAGATGGTTAAGGGAAAAAAAGTTTATTTAGACATAATTGTGGTAAGATTATACAAATTTTAGTCAATTTATATGATAATCATTTATAAAACTTAAGAACCAAAAAAGTTTATTTAGACATAATTGTGGTAAGATTATACAAATTTTAGTCAATTTATATGATAATCATTTATAAAACTTAAAAACCCAAGGAGGGGTCGCTATGAGTCGGGGCCGACTCGATGGCACATAACAACAACAACAACAACAACAAGAACCACTAACTTGTTTTCTAATACCTTTCACAGGTAACTAGGGATAGTTTAGGAGGCATTGGTGGCTCAGTGGAAGAGACAGGTACTTTCTATGTGGGAGTCTGGCTCAACTCCTAGGTTACATACCTCACGCACCTGTCTGCCCGTGGGGCTTCTGTGTTGTTATGATGTTAAACAAACAGGTCTCAGTGGAGTCTCCATACTAAGATGGACTAGAAGAAAAGGTCTGACTATTTACTTCTGAAAATCAGCTAATGAAAAACTTAGAAAAGAAGGGTAAGAATGGTTGTACAACTCGAACAATGTAATTAATGTTGCTTAATGTTGCTAAAGTATACATGTAAAAATGGCTGAATTGGTGTATGTTTTGCTATGTATAGTCTCAACAAAATAAATTTAAAAAGAAAAACAAAACCATAGAGATCACAATGGTCTGAACCACAACCAATTATGGGGATGCTGCTAGACCAAGCAGTGTTTTGTTTCACTATGAATGGGGGTCACCATGAATCAGGGCAACTCGCAGATATCATATTTGTGAACTCACTTACATACAAAAATTTATTTGTAACCCCAAAATCAATACTCACAGCTTCTGCAGTCATCCATGGACATGTGTATTGTTGTTAGTGCCACAGAGTTGGCTCAGATTCACAGAGACCCAGTGTACAACAGAAGGAAACACTGCTGGGTTCTGCACCATCCTCACAGCCACTCTAATGCTTGAGCTCCTTTTCCCAGTCACTGTGTCAATTCATCTTGTTAAGAGTCTTCCCCTTTTTCACTGACCCTCCACTTTACCAAGCATGATATCCTTCTCCAGGGACTGGTCCTTCTGACAACATGACCAAAGTATGAGAGGTAAAGTGGCCATTCTCATTTCAAAGAGCATTCAGGTTATACTTCTTCCAAGACAGACTTCTTTTGTCTTCTAGCAGTGCATGGTACATTCAGTATGCTTCACCAACACTACAATTCAAATGCCTCAGTTCTTCTTTGGTATTCTTTATACACTGTCCAGCATATATAAGGCTACTGAAAATACCATGGTTTGTATTGGGCACACTTTAGTCTTCAAAGTGACATATTTGCTCTTCAACACTTTAAGGAGGTCTTTTGTAACAGATCTGCCCAGTGCACTATGTGGTTTAACTTCTTCACTGCTGCTTCCATGGGCACTGATTGTGGATCCAAGTAAAACAAAATCCCTGAAAACTTCAATCTTTTCTCCATTTATCATAATGTCATTTATTGATCCAGTTGTGAGAATTTTTGTTTTATTTATATTGAAGTGCAATCCATACTGAAGGTAGTCTCTGATTTTCACAAGTGCTTCAAGTCTTCTTCAGTTTTAGCAAACGAGGTTGTGTCATCTGGATATTGCAGGCTATCAGTGACTCTTCCTCCAATCCTGATGCTCCTGATGCCAAGTTCTTCATATAGTTCAACTTCCCAGATTATATGCTCAGCATACAGACTGAATAAGTATGGTGAAACTATACTACCCTGATGCATACCTTTCCCGATTTTACACCACGTAGTATTCCCCTGTTCTGTTTCCACGACTGTCTCTTGGTCTATGAACAGGTTCCTGATGAGCACAATTAAGTGTCCTACAATTCTGATTCTTCACAACATTATCCATAATGATTCACACAGTCAAATGTCTTTACATAGTCAATAAAACACAAGTAAATATCTTTTGGTATTCTTTGCTTTCAGCCAATAACTATCTGACATCAACAATAATATCTCTCATTCGCCGTCCTCTTCTTAATCTGGCTTGTATTTCTGGAAGTTCCGTCCATGTACTGCTGCAAACATTTTTGAATTTTTATTAAGCAAAATTTTACTTGTGTGTGTTATTAATGATATTGTTCAATAATTTCCACATTTGTTGAATGGGCACAAATATGGACCTCTTCGAGTTGGTTGGTGTGTTAGGCTGGGTTCTCTAGAGAAGCAAAACCAGTAAAGCTTATATAGAAAGAGAGAGAAAAAGAAATTTATCTTAGGAAAACGGCTCACACACTTATAGAAGCTGGCAAGTCCCAAGTTCTTGGATCAAATGTCAAGCTGGAGGCTTTTCCTGACTTGTGCTCCTGCAGGAGCTGAAGAGTTCAAGGTTGGCAAGCAGTACTGGCTGTTGACTCCAACGAATGACGAATCCAAGAGCTCCAGGCCAAATGGTGGTTTGTTTGCTCATGGACAATTGTAGGCAGCACAACAGGATCCCAATCCACAGAAGTGTATCTTTTCCCAGGATGTCCATAAATATCCTGGAAACAGGCCATATCCCTAGGGAAATTCCCTTTCAACGGATTGGCTGCTCAAAACATAAATATCTGATCCCATCATGGGAACAACCCACATCACAATTGCTTAAACCACACAGAATTGTAGTCCAGCTAAGTTGACACACAGCTCCATTTATCACAGTTGGCCAGGTGATTGTCTTCCAAATATTTTGGCATGAGCAAGTGAACACTTCCAGCACTCCATCTGTTTGCTGAAACATCTCAATGGGTATTCCGTCAATTCCTGAAGGTTTATTTTTTGACAATGCTTTCAGTGTTGCTTGGATTTATTTCTTTAACATGACAGGTTTTGATCATATGCTACATCCTGAAATGGCTGAGCACAGACCAATTATTTTGGGTACAGTGACTCTGTATATTCTTTCCATCTTCTTTTGACACTTCCTGCATTGTTCAATATTTTGGCCATAGAATCCTTTAATATCACAAGTTTCAAGCCTGAATTTTTTTCTTCATGTCTTTCAGCTCGGTAAGTGCCAAGTGTATTCTTCCACTTTGATTTTCTAACTCCAGGTCTCTGCACATTTCATTATAACACTTTATGTTGTTTTCTCAAGCTGTGCTTTGAAATCTTCTGTTCAGCTAATTCATCTCATCATTTCTTCCCATTTGTTTTGTCTACTCTCCATTCAAAAGCATTATTTCAGAGTCCCTTTTCATATCCATTTGGTCTTTTTTTATTTCCCCTTTTTTTAAAAAAATTTAAATAAACTTTTAATTTTAGAATAGTTTTACATTTATAGAGATGTTACAAAGACAGTATAGAAGTCCCATATACCTTTACTCAGTTTCCCCTATTAATATCTTACATTATTTATGGTAGATTTGTCACAACTAAAGAACCAAAGTTGGTACATTACTATTAACCAAAAAACGCACTGCCATGAAGTCAATTCTGACTCACAGCAACCCTGTCACTGGCTGTAAATCTTTATGGAAGGAGACCGTTTCATCTTTCTGCTGTGGAGTGGCTGGTGGGTTTGAACCGTAGACCTTTTGGTTAGCAAACAAATGCTTTAAAACCACTACACCACCAGAGCTGCTACTGTTAACTAAATTCCATACTTCAAACTTGACTAGTTTTTCCCTAATAGGACTTTTTCTGTTCTGGGATCTCATTTAGCTGTCATGACTCCTTTGCCTCCTCTGGTCTGTGACAGTTTGCCACATTTTCTTGCTTTTGGTGACCTTTAGTTTTGATGAGTACTTCTTTCCTGTCTTTTTAATGACTTTTTGCTTTCTTCGTGTATAACATCTTCGAAATCAAACCACAACTTGTCTGGTCTTTAGTTACTGTTGTTCAATGCATCATATCTATTCTTCAGATGGTTTCTAAATTCAAGTGGGATATACTCAAGGTCATATTTTGGCTCTTGTGGACTTGTTTTAATTTTCTTCAGCTTCAACTAAAACTTACGTATGAGCAACTGATGGTCTGTTTCACAGTTGGTCCCTGGCCTTGTTGTGACTGATGTTATTAAGCTTCTCCAACATTTCATTCCACAGATGTAGTCCATTTGATTCCTGTGTATTCCACGCGGTGATGTCCATGTGTATAGTTGCTGTTTATGTTGTTGAAAAAAGATATTTGCAACAAGTAAGTTGTTGGTCTTGCAAAATTCTATCATGTGATTGGGTGTCACTTCACCCAAAGCCATATTTTCCAAATACCATGCTTCTTCTTTGTTTTCAACTATCACATTCCAATCAGCAGTAATTATCAATACATCTTGGTTGCATGTTTGATTAATTTCAGACTGCAGAAGTTGGTAAAAATCTTCAATTTCTTCATCTTTACCTTTAGTGGTTGGTGTGCAAGTTGAATAATAGTAGTATTAACTGATCTTCCTTGTAGGCATATGGATATTATCCATCACTGACAGCACTGTACTTCAGGATAGATCTTGAAATGTTCTTTTTGATGAAGAATATGACACCAGTCCTCTTCAATCTGTCATTCCCAGTATAGCAGACCATACGACTTTCTGCTTCAAAATGGCTAGTATTAATCCATTTCAGCTTACCAATGTGTAGGATTTTGATCTTTATGTGCTCCATTTCATTTTTCACTACTTCCAATTTTCCTAGATTCGTACTTCATACATTCATGCCATGTTCCGATTTTTAATGGATGTTTGCAGCTGTTTCTTCTCATTTTGAGTTGTGTCACATAAGCAAATGAAGGTCCAGAAAGCTGTACTCCATTTACATCACTAAGTAGATTCTACTTTGAGGAGGCAGCTCTGCCCCAGTCCAATTTTGTGTGCCTTTCAAGTTGAGGAACTTATTTTCCTGCACTAAATCAAACAATGCTTCCCTGCTATTCATATGGTTTCCAGTGGCCCTTTTTTTTTTTTTTTTCCAGAAGTGGACTTGGCCATGTTCTTCTTCCTAGTCTGTCTTAGTCTGGAAGCTCCACTGAAATCTTTCCACTGTGGGTGACCCTCCTAGGTACATGAAGTACCAGTGGCATGACTTCCAGCAACACACAAGCCACCACAATACGACAAACTGACAGAAAGTGATGGTAGACATGCACAGAACCTCAAAACATCTGAGTTCCCGATATACATGTTCACAGCTGAGGTTGAACAAGGCAACACACTGCCTTGTTTCAGCTCTCATACTGTAAACAATGTTATCATTCTGGTGGTCTATTTAGTGTCATCTTTTTCACATTTTTGTGCTTTCTGTTGGTGTTTTTACTTTTTAAAATGGTCTCCAAGTATAGTGTTGAAGTGTTGTCTTTTTAAAATGGTCTCCAAGTATAGTGTTGAAGTGTTGTCTAGAGTTCTTAACTGCAAGTTGTGATGTCCCTTACAGAGAAAATAGCAGGTGTTAAATAAGCTTCATTCAGGTATGTATGAGTTATAGTATTGTTGGCCATGAGTTCAATGTTAATGAATCAACAATATATATATTAAATGAGATGTCTTTAAACAGGAACATGCATAAAAAAGAGATAATGTACTGGGTGACTGACAGAAATGCTGTGACTAGGAGCCTGTAGGAGCCTAATCCTGTATTTCCCCTTGGAGCAATGATTCACAATTCAATCGTTAGTGTTCAGTGTTCATGATAATTTTATAGAAGGTAACTACTGTGAATAAAAACAGATAACTATACATTTTAGTTTTTAAAATTGACAATTATGCCAATATTTAAGAAAATAACACTTTATAAAACTGAAACAAAATCACTTTTTCCCTTAAGGTATATGTTTATAAGGGAACATAAACCAAGAACTCTAGAACCACATTCATCTAAATTCACATAAATATATAATATAAACTTCCACCGTACTATTAAATGTAAGAAATACAAACCTCATGATGTTTCCAAAGAGATTTTCTATGTGACACAGTGAAGAGGGTGATGCCAACCTAAAAGAAAGGAAATAATTGACATTTAGATCAATGACAGAGATTCACAAATGAAGCTAGTCTATATATTTTAAGGTGTAAGCTGATTGCTTTCAGTGGCTATATATGAAAAACAATGTCAAAGAGAAAAAATAATTTCAACTGACGTTACTATTTAAGGTAAGGTAAAGTACCTTTGGGCTTTCAAGCACGTAATAAAAGCCAACAGGTACTGGCACTAAATACATTATTTTATTTGGGACATATAATACATATCCTAGCATATTTTCTACTTTATTGTAAAAAACAAAATATGTGAAAAGAGTGTAAGGATGATAAAAAGTCTAAGAACTTAAAACTAGTAAAAATTAATACAGAATAGCATTGTCTATAGGCAATTTGCTTCTCAAACACAAAGTCATAATTCCTCATTGAAAATCTTTGCTTTGGAATTTAGATTTTGGAAATGTGTTAAACACTCTCAGAATTCTGTAATCAAACACATGAATGTATCTGGAGCAACACATATGGACATACACATTAAGTGAAATAAAGAGTTTAAATATCTTTTGTTAGCTCAGGCCAGATTTTGCCATTCAATAAAACTGCTAAAAAAAAATCATCAAATTTACTTCAGTTTTTAGAGCTTTCTGGATTAAAGATTGTGAATAAAGGGTTATAGATGTGTTCTTCAGACTTTCAAAACAACACTAATAGGTATAAGTGTAGTTGCTCTGAATCAGTGGTTCTCAATCGTGGGTTGATTTTGCCCCTCAGGGGACATCTGGCAATGTCTGGGGTTATTTTTGGTTGTCACAACTGAGAGTGCTACTGATATCTAATTGGTAGTGGCTAGAGGTGCTGCTAAACAGTCTACAATGCACAGAACATAACTAGGAATTATCCAGCCCCAAATGTCAATTGTGCCAAGCATGAAAAACCCTGCTCTACGTCACTGTATCTCAAAATTAATTCCTTCAGGCCAACAGATACCTGCTGGGATATCCAGGAAATGTCCATCATGAATTCCAAATTTTATTTTGACAGTAATTTTTAAAAACTTAAGTAAGCTCCAGATCATTTCTGCCGTAAGACTGAAGTGCTCAAGTTTGTGTCTTCACTTCTGCTGGTGTCAAGTGACACTTTTAATGTGTCATAAGTTTATCTGACTGCCTGTGAAACAGTTCTCAAACCAACTAGGAATTACATGATAAAATAAGCATATTATCAGTATTAATAAAACAGACATTTCAACTGGACATTTATGTCTTTTTAAGGATTAGTTTTCAGAGCATTTAACTTACATCTTTTAAACACTTGACTATGTTGAATCAATCTACAAGGAATAAAAGTTAATATATTCCAAGTTGAGATAATGTGGAAGCAATCACACAAATGTTAATGATCGAGACATTTTCAAATTGGTGTGAATGAGGTCATTTCTAGTACTCACTAATTCCCTTTAAATCTGACAGCCAAGTTGTGGTATTGAATGTAGAATTATTTTGCAACATTTACAAAAATAAGTCTCATTCCTGGTATTATATCTGTTCATAGTTCTTACAATAACTGGATTACGACTCTACTTATTGCAGGCATTCTTGATATTATCATTACTGAAGTCAAAATACAAAAGCAAAATTCATAATACATGATCTGGACTTCAGACTGTATCGTTCCATAACTAACTCCCAAACTAATAGTTTAATTCAGGTAAAATAGGTCTCTTTAGTGCTGCAAATTTGAAAATTTTTAAGTCTTGTCTGTATTTAATTTGTAAATGTATACTGGTTTTGTAATTGTCAATGAATTCTTGGCTTAACGAGTATATTCCTCATTTCATGTTAATACTATATATAAAGTGCTATTATAGTAATATAATTAAAACTGTCAGGTTTAATTGTGATGGTTAATATTATGTATCAAGGTTTGGTTTGGTCAGACACTAGTTTAGATGTTCCTGCTGTGAAGGGATTTTATAGATGTGATTAACATTTACAATCAGCTTATTTAAATAAAGGAGATCACTATGAATAATGTGGGTCACTTAAGCTAAATGCTTAAGGACCAAAAACTGAGGTTTCTCAGAAAAAACTAAAAATTCTGCTTCAAGACTATAACATAGAAATCCTGCCTGAATTTCTAGCTTGCTGTCCCGTCCTATAGATTTCACACTCAAGATTGCAACATCAACACTTGCCTGAATTCCCAGTATGTGGGCCTCCCCTGCATATTTCAGACTTGCTACCCAGACAACTGGGTGATCAATTCCTTAAAATAAATCTCTTTATTTACATATGTTCTATTGGTTCTGTTTATCTGGAGAACCCTGAATAATATAAGGTCCCATAAAAATGTTCTTTTAAATGGAATCTACAGGCATTTGACTGTTAACCAGAAGGTTGGTGGTTCAAACCCACCAGCCACTCCTCGGAGGAAGACTGGGCAATCTACTTCCGTAGAGATACCGCCTTGGAAACCCAAGGAGGGTCGCTATGTGTTGGAATTGACTCGATAGCAGTGAGTTTTTTTTTTTTTTTAAATATATACTTTATAAACAAATTGGATCTTATGAGAGGAGTATACTCTACAGCTAGACCATAAGAGAAAACTCTTGTCTAGGTGCCATCAAGTCGGCTCCAACTCATAACAACCCAATATACAACAGAACAAAAGTTCTGCCCAGTCCTGTGCAGCCTCACAATCCTTGCTACACCTGATACCATTGTTGCAACCACCGTGTCAATCCATCTCATTGAGGACCTTGTCTTTTTGTTGGCCCTTCACCAGAGCTCCAAACAACTCGTGAATCAGAGCTCCCCAACAATCTTGGTTCACATGCTCTTAGTATATCAGAAATATTTTTACAGTGACCCTAAGCCAAAAAAACTTTATGTAACAGTTCCATTTATTAAGCATTTAGATGCAAACTTAATAGTAGTTGTCTGTGCAGTGTCCAACAGATGTCATCATTTTCCTCAAAATGTAAAAGTATCCTGCAGTGCCCCTGAGAGTTTGCTACTGCGTCCTGACACACAGTTTCCAAACCATACAGCCTTATGTATGACAGATGAAAACAGGTATAATTCCATATAGCTACAGTATTCAGAAATTAAAGAATTCAAAGGTTTTCCAGTTTTGAATACTTTAGGGAGCTTATGAAAATTCCAAGATGCTGGCCTTTCTATTCATTCCTTTTATTGTCTTCACACCTGCAGTGATTTTTATCATATTCTTTCTAGTCAAAATTTCTCAGCAGTCCTCAAATAATTCTTTCAAGTGTGTTGACGAAGCCAGTAACATTCAATTAGTTGCTTTGATTTATGCATTTTATTAATCCACAGTAAAAACAAAAATGAAAAGTATTCACATTTTATCATAACTTTGCACTGACTGTTTTCACGTTCTGCTATCTACTACTCATAAGCCATGCTCCCTGAAAGGATATATCACTGCTCTCTCTCATTTAGTAGGGCAAGTAATCATATACCCTTGTGCAATACAAAGGCACTCTCTAGAAATGAAAATTAGAAATGATAACTAAAGTGCAGTAATAAGACAATACAGCAAACACCTCTAGATGCCTATAAATCTGAAAAACAATATAGACAGATGAATAAAAATTACAAATTGCCCAGATTTAAGAATAGAAAATAAACCATTAAAAACATAAAATCAGCAGTTAAAAATCTTTCTAATAAAATGAATATAGAAATTCATTCTTTCATCATTATACTAGTGCATCTCAAGGTTTAAGGTGCCTTTATATCATCTGAGAATTTTGCTAAAATGTATATTCTGATTTAGTAGGATCTAACAAACCCCCAGGTGAGGCTGATGCTTTTGATCCGTGATCACACTTTGAGCGCAAGAGTTTATACTATATGTATATGCAACAAGACTTTTTATATTTAAGTTCCCAAAGAACAATTTACATGTGTTAAAATACTCTGGTACCTACAGAGAAACTGTAAAACAGGATATACTGCTCTTATTCTAAAAACGTAAGAGTACAGGAGTACAGATGTTGGTGAGAATTGTTCACAGAAAAAAAAACAAAAAACAAAAAACCCTCAGACTACTGAATAATTACAGAACAGAACTAATGTAGACAAACTCAGACTAGGTTACTGAAAAAAACTTTGATAAAATATTGCCTAAGCCAAAGGGAAAATGAATAAAAGCACAATAATTGCCATGAATGTCAATACCAGTTTATTAATTCTAAGTACAGATAATGATGTAAAAGAGAAACAGATCTAAATATGTTATTTGTTTGTTATCTAATAAGTGGCTAAAGAGAATTATATAAATAATTCATTTACAACTCATTTCCTTTTACTCACAGCTATTAAACATATAAGTTTAAAATCTTTATTAAAGCAAGATATCATTCTCTGAGAATAATTTTGTTACTAAATAATTTGGAATCTTCTCCTTGGATAAATATCTGGCTGGACATAGATCAGACTGCGGGGGCAGATATAGATCCCCAAGTTGAGAACCTGCCACACCTACCTTTCGACAATGACTATAAATGTAGCCTTCCACATCCACACTAACTGCACTTGTGCACTCATCCAAAATGGCAAACTGGGGTTTATGATAAAATAATCTTGCCATCTGAAGAATAAAAAGAGAAATGCTTTGTGTAAACATATGCATACTTAAAATTAATAAGCTAAAATAAATTTACTTTAAATTAAATATGCAGTCTTGTAAATAAGCATGGAAATTATTCTAACTAAAAAGTCTGTTTTCCAGAAATAGAGACAATATAAGTAAACCAAATTATTTTATTCTCAGCCTGAACAAACAGGAAAATATAATATAGGGGAAATATTTATTGGTAAGAATAAAATACAATCTATTTGTTTGACCTGAGATGAAGCTGAGTTTTAAATCGACATTAAAGGAAGTTCACGTAACAAACAATATTAGAGGGTTTAACCAAATTTTAGAATTCAGACTAACAATGGCCTCAGGTGCAAAAAGGTCTCTGGTTTTAAAGATTCTGTTGTCTGAATAATGGTAACAACTCTAAGTAACTTTAGGTAGTAGATACTGAGCCCTGGAACAAGGATACATAAATAATGGTGGCAGGTAAGGTCAAAGAATGAAATAAAGAATACAATAATAAAAGTAGTTGATCATCTTCAATATCTTCAGCTACATCAGGGGGAATGGTGTGAGTAAGATAAAGAGATATCTATAGAAACAAAGAGATCTAATAACCCAACCAGGATCATTGTATTTCCCAGGATCAATGTACTACATCCCGTAGATAATTAAATCTCAGCTTTTGTTTTCACAAATACTGGCAATGTTTTTACGAGTATTTCAGAAGTACAAATTTAAGCACAAGTTATACATTCCTGAGCACTTTTATTATCATTTAAACTAATCTATAATTTAACAATTGCTAAATAAAAAAGAATGAAATAAAATTTTGTGCCTTAATAAAAATGCTAGATTATAAGAATAACTTTATGTAACTAGTTGCATCTTTATACAATGTGTTCAGAGTATACTTACCGCCATTCTTTGTTTTTCACCACCACTGAGTACATCCATCCAATCCTGAACACTGTCCCAGCCTCCTTCACGTTCAAGGATATGACCCAACTGGACATTGTCTAAGTAGTCCTTCAGTACCTTTCAGACAAATAATTAGAGATGAAACCAAGCTTAATATAAACCAACTTTCTCTCTCACACTTTATTTTTTAAACTACAAGGAGTATAATTCTTTGCCAATATCACTTAAAGAGGCACATTTCACAAAATAACGTGGCACAAAAGTAGTATTGAACCTCGATGTTCCTGTCTATACTAACTGTGACAAAATGTGTCATTGTTGTACATAATTAACAAGTAAAAACAATGAGAAAACAAACAATAAACCTGTTGCAGTCAAGTCGACTCCAACTCATGGTAACCTTATGGTGTCAGAGTACAACTGTACTCCGTAAGGTTTTTAATGGCTGATTTTGGGTAAGTAGATTGCTAGGCCTTTTCTTCCCAGGAGCTTCTGTGTGGACCTAAACCTCCAATCATTCAGTTAGCAGCGCCTCAAGTTTTGCACCACCCAGAGGCTCCCAACAGTATAAAGACAGATTAAACACAACGTATCATATTTAAGCAAAGTGGTTTTCATCTTACCTTACCTTGGAAAGCTGTAATTAATGTCAAGGCTTTGGAGGGTTTCACAGGTTAGGTTAAATTACCTGGCATTTCAATACTTACCTGATTAAGGTGAAGTATAAGAAGTAAAATATTTTCAGTAGGTTAGGATACAGAGTCCCTTACCAGATCAGAGATCCCCTTCCTTTTCTGATCTTCTTTTCCATCTGGATATATCACTTGGTCTCGAAGTGTTCCAAGGGTCATATAAGGTCTCTGACAGTAGAGCAAGAGATAATAGAAGTAAATTTTAAGAAAATTAAAGGATCTTAAATCAAAGATTATGAAACAACTCAACCAAGGTCTTACCTGAGGAACATAAAATAACTTTCCTCTCTCAGGTTTAGTTAGACGTCCTCCAAAAAGAGGCCATAACTATAAAAGGAAAAGAGGAAAGAGAGAAACAGTTGTGAATTTTACAATGTAGCAGACACAATGGCAGTTAACAGGAGCCTAAGGCTCAACACAACAAAGTTTTGAGGCCTATTTGTACTTACTTCACCTAGAACACGGAATAGTGAACTCTTCCCACATCCATTAGGACCACAAATTAGAACGTTGGCCCCAGATCGAACCTAAAATGGAAGTTAGTTCATGAATTAAGTAGAAGGAATATGTAATCAGTGAACATTTGCTAAAGTCAAAGACCTCTCTGCTACTTACGAGCTTTCTGCTTTGCCTATTCTACTCAGTGATGTTTTTTTCAATGAGCACATATTACTTTTTAACTTTATAAACTTGCATTTAAAAATCATACTTGATGTCATCACCTTTATCTCAACTGGAATACAAAGAAAAAACCTTAAAAAAATTTCTTGAGAATTTAAAAGAACATTAAATAAATGTATCCATACAAATAAAGTCTTTTTAAAAAACTCAATCATTTGCTTTATATTGTTCTATAGGAGTGTTCATTATTTTTACTATTTAATATATCAGATATTTTTCCAGGTCAGCATATTCAGATCCCTATCATTAATATATATATATTTTTAAATAATGCTTGCAGGGTATTCCACAGGAAGGATACACTGTAATATTTAAAAAATATTCCTTTGTTAAATATTTAGGTTGTCTAGATTTTTATTTGTTCTTTTTTATAATACAGAAATTAATCTCCACACCAGTAAGTAACCTTATGCACTAGTGAGAAATGTTTCCTGAGATTCTTAGAAATTAGAAATGTTTCATCAAAGTACTTGTGCATTATAAATATTTATGAGGCCCACCAAACTGCTCTGCAACTAAGTGAAAATAAAGATAATGAGAAAATGTAAAGAGTATGCAAGTTCTAAACTTAGTCTTACCAGTGTCTAAATGACCTTTGAAAAAAATCAGAAAACCTGGGTTCTCATTCTAGCTGACCCCAATAAGCAGCAGTATATTACAGCAGGAAAGATGTCAGAAATATTCAGAGACATGAGTTACATTAGCTATGTAACCAGCCTTGAGAATTTTTTTTTAACTGTTGAGCCTTAGGGAGCTCTGGTGGCATAGTGCCTGAGGCATTTGACTGCTAACCAGAAGACTGGCGGGTCAAACCCACCAGCCATTCCTCGCAAGGAAGACTGGACCATCTACTTCTGTAGTGATACCACCTCAGAAACCCGAGGAGGGGTCGCTATGAGTCGTAAAGGACTTGACGGCAGCGAGTTTGGTTTTTTTGTTTTGTTTTGTTGAGCCTTAGGCTCCTATTAACTAATTTAATAAATATATCTCTGTTCTAGGCAATGGGGCTGTATTAGTAAGTAAAAAAAAAAAAAAAAAACAAACTCACTGCCATGGAGTCAGATCTGACTCATAGCAACCCCTCCTTGGGTTTCCAGGCAGTATCACTACGGAAGTAAATTCTCCAACCTTTCTTCCGAGGAGAGGCTGGTGGGTTTGAACGACCAGCCTTCTGGTTAGCTGTCAAATGCCTTAGGCCCTATGCCACCAGAGGGACAAAAAAAAAAAAAAAAAAAAATCCTTACCCTAGGGATTTACATTCTAGTAGACATATAATAAGGAATACACATAATAAATAAGGAAATAGTATGCTAGAAAGTAAGTGCTATGAAGGAAAATAGATCAGAGTATGGACACTTGGCAGTGAGTGAGAGGTATTGTATTTTTAGGGCGGTCAAGGTAGGACTCATTCAGAAAGACAACTAACGAAAACTCTGAAGGAAGCAAATGAGTGAATTAGGAGTATCTGAAGGAAGAATGCTCTAGCCTGCCTTCCCCCTAAAAAACTTAGTGCAAAGCAGCTGAGGCAGGAGTATGCCAGGCCTGTTCAAAGAACAGAAAGGAGGCTGATTTGGCTGGATAAAAATGAACAAGAAAGAAGAGTTGCAGGAATGAGCTCAGATAAGTAAAGGGTGGGGTGTGTGGGTACAGTAAAATCTAAAACCAAATTCACTGCCATTGAGTCGATTCTGACTCATAGTAACCCCCATTAGATTTCTAAAGCTGTAAATCTCTATAGAAGCAGACGGCCTCATCTTTCTTTCATGGAGTGGCTGGTGGATTTAAACCACCATTCTTTTAGGTAACAGTCATGTCTTAACCACTACACCACCAGAACTCCTCTGTGGGGTAGAGTAGTGGCAGGCAAATCCTACAGAGCAATGTAAGATACTGAAAGGGCTTTGGTTTTTTACACTGATGAAATGGAGAGACATCAGAGGTTTTATTGGCAAAGTAGTTGTGTTGCAGAAATTACTTGGTATGACTGTTCTAGCTATGGTCTTCACCATTTCCACCAGATTACTGGTTGGAAATATGCAGGTGCCATCAAGAGAAAAGACCCATAGGTGGAGTGAAGAACTTCCTTGGACCAAAGATTCCTGTGCTGGTCCTCCTTGGCAGAGAGACGGTAGCAGTGGTACCAAGAGGCATAAGACAGAGCAGTGGGCTTGCTGGCCCACAGAGCAAGAAAGCTGAGTCCCTTTGGGTAGAAGTCTTGTTGGCAAAGTAGGATGCACCTAAGGGCACCTATCAGCAAAACTGTAAGGACTGTGTAACACTTGCCCAAGCAGGGCAGAGGCCAGGCCAAGAAGCCAAGGGTCAGAAAAGCATGTCTGAGGTCATAACAGAGGGGAGACTGTCCTGATTGAAGAATAGTATCCAGAGTGCATTCTTCTTTCTTGCTTGCTTTCTTTCTTCCCTCCCCTCCCCTCCCACCCCAGCAACCAACAAAGAAAGTTTCCCTCCATATATAAACCTTTCCTTGACTCTCCAAAACAATGAACCAATACTATATTTGTCCTTCTGTGATTGACTTATTTCACTCAGCATAGTGTCCTCCAAGTTCATCCATATTATGTGGTGTTTTGCAGACTCCACATTATTCCTTAGTGCTGCATAGCATTCCGGTATGTGTACATAGCATAGTTCGGTCATCCATTCTTCTGCTTATGGGCACGTAGGTTGTTTCCATCTTTTTGCTTTTTTGGTCCCTTGTTTCCCCTGCTTTATCTTGCTTCTTTGTTGGACTGTGATGCTCTGTTGTCTCTGAGGCATTGTGACATTTTTGTGTTTATATTTAATTGGTGATTATATGTTGGAGTGACTTGCCCACAATTTTCGTTTTCTTTGTTTTGTTTGTATGTTATCTATACAATTAGGGTACTGTGCTATGCTCCTCTATTCACTAGTTGGCAGCACTTATACACTCACCACCTGTCTCCTTTCCTTTGTCAGCCTCTTGTATGTCCTTGCTGACCTTGGCAAACACAGCCTGTTCTTAGGTCCCTGGAATCCAAATGAGAATGCTATCACTTTAAAATCCAAAATGGTTGCCACATGTAAACAATCAAAATGGCTGCAGAAAGTCCACAGCTCAAGTTGTCTCCCTCCTTGCTGTTTCCCTTCCTAGTCAAAGGCCACCAGAGCAGTTGTCCCTGCAGCCCTTGGTGACTGGGACTGATCTTTAGGTCAATTCTCACTTCCCAACACCACTTGGAAATATTCAAGCCATTGAATATTCAAGTAGCTGACAGTCCGCAGCTCCAACCGTCTCTGTACTCACTATTTTCGTTCAGGTTTTTCCACTAGTTGGTGCCTAATCCACTTCTGTATAGTTCCTTTCAAAGCTCAGGGTTCCAGGGTTATCTTCTGTATCTCTGTCAATTGGTTTTTCTTTTCTTTGTTGAAGAGGGTCTGTGTCGCTTGTCTGCCTATTCCTCCATCTTACTGGAAGTTCTGAGTGCATTCTTGAACCTGGACTGTAACCTATAACTTTCCTAATAAACCCCATAATTGTGACTACTGTTTTTGAGTTCTGTGTAGCCATTGCAACAAATTATCAAACCCAGCAGAGAAGTATTGAGTGCCGTGGGAGGAACAGTTGGTGTCAGAATTGATAAAGGGGTTTGAGGGTGGCGGTATGCCTGACTTTCACCTCATAGTAATCAGCCTTGGGCTGCTGAAGGTGATTCTGTTTCTCCCTTGTGAAGTTAGAGGAGGTCAGAGGAAGATGCTGCCCCCATGGCCTTTTTGCAGGAGTGAAGTGATCTGGCTTCCGTTTTAACAAAGTTGTGGGGATAAAAGCAGAGAGAGAGAGATTAATTAGGAGACGACTGTAATAATCCTGGAAAGAAATGATGGTAGTTTAGACCAGGTGGTAACAGTGGAGATGATGAGACATGCTTAGATTCTATACATACTATATTTTGGAAGTAGAGTCAAGACTATTTCCTGGTGGGCTGGCATGAGATATGAGAGAAAAAGTCAAAAACAATACCAAGGTGTTTGGCCTGAGTAACTGGAAGGACAGAGTTGTCAGTAACTGAGCTGGGGAAGAGTGAAAGTAGTTTTTTAAGAAGCAGACCAGAAGTTCCATTCAGGACATAGAGTAAAACCTGCTTAAAGCAGGAACCTGTGTAAGGCAGAAAACTGTCAGAAGGAAAATTCAAATATTTTCCACTAAAATGAGGAATAGAAAAGTGGTTAAGACTAAACTCCGTCAAAGATAGAAAACTTACAAGACCCAGAAAAACAAGGCAGTCCTAATCAAATTCCAGCTCTCACAGGTTTCACTGTATTAGTTTTGAAGGGTTTATCAGATATGCAAAGGAGCTCTAGTGGTACAGTGGTTATGGCATTTGGCTGATAACGAAAAGATCAGTGGTTCAAACTCACGAGCTGCTCCATGACAGAAAGATGGGAAGTCTGCTTCCATAAAGATTTACAGCCTTGGAAACCCAAGAGGGGTCGCTATGAGTCAGAATGTACTCGATGGCAGATAATTTATTTGAAAGAACGGAAAAACTGCTCACTCGCCCAAGACTGCAACAATAATAATAAAAAAAATCCAATAATTATATGCCTTTTTTTTTTAAATAAACTATCAGACAACATCCTTTCAATAACATAACTGAAAAACATCCCCGAATCAAACAGAAATTACAGAGGGCCATAAACACAGGCTTGAAGAGAGGGATTTCAGAGCCATGCTGTCTAATACAGTACTCACTAGCCACATGTGGTCATTTAAAGTCAAATTAATTAAAATTAGATAAAATTTAAAATTCAGTTCCTCAATATCACTAGCTACATTTCAAGAGCTAAATAGCCATGTCTAACTATTATA